ACTACACGAACAACCAGGAGCTGGAGCAAGCGAACGATGAGGAGCTCGTCATCCAAACCAAGGAGTGCGCCCTTACAGGCACCGTCTCCGACCTCGGGTACTCCGGCACGGCGCTTGCCGGCTGCGGTTCCGCTTGGACGCGCTCCTTCAACATGACGGAGGCCACCGCCGCAAAGAAGGTGCGATGGACCATGAAGTTGCGTGTGTGTGTGTGTGAATGTTGTTGGGGGATAGAGAGGGATTAGAAGAGGGCGAGGGAGACCAGACGATGCACACATACATGTACATACATCCATACGCACAAATGTATCCACACACACACACACACACACCACTTCCTTCCTTCCTTCCTTCCTTCCTTCCTTCCTTCCTTCCTTCCTTCCTTCCTTCCTTCCTTCCTTCCTTCGGCTTTCTGATTACTCACAACCACGACCATTTCTCACTGCTTCACACCTTGCCTCCTGCAGCAACGCGAGTACGCGCGCCCGTCCATGTGCCGCGACGGCAGCGACAACAGCCTCGACCTGGACGAGACCATGTTCCTGCCGGAAGAAGGCCTGCCTGAGGCCGCACCGGAGGACGAGGAAGTCAAGCGCGACTGGGAGGACAGGAAGCGGCAACTCGACACCATCGGTTATCAGCGGCCGGAAGAAGTGCCTGCGCCGCCCCAGGAGCACGTGGAGAAGGCAAAGTCGCTGCTGGTTGAGATTGAGCGCGCACCACAGCAGAAGCTCAAGTCGAAGATGCTGGAGCAGGTGCAGCAGCGGCCGCAGCAGCTGCTGAAAACTCAACTCCTTCAGGAGATTCAACAGCACGGCGCAAAGGAGTGACATGATCACGCGTCTTTTGCGTTGTCGCCTCGTGTACTGCTTGTGTGTTTTCTATTTTGCGTTTTCGTGGTTTGATGTAGTTGAATGTGGTGGGTTGTGGCCGTATGTATGATGTACGCATGTATGCACGTGTGTGTATGAACGAGTGCGTAGGAATGGGTGTTTGCATGGATGTATCATTCAATCGATGCCCGTCTTTTGGCCACCATTGTTTGTGACATGTGTGCGTGTTAGTTTTGTTTGTTTGGACCACTGCCACACCGTGACTCGGATGTATCCTCTTCTCCATTCCCAACAGCCTACAACCATATTTGTATTTGCGTAGATTTGCCTTCTGTCCTTCCTTTGTGTCAGCTGATGCGCTCCGTTGCACTCAAGCACGTTGCGTATGGCCTAGAATTGCTTCCCCCCCCCTTCCTCATCCTTTTCTGTGTCCTCCTCCCCTCTCCTCTGCCTGTCCACCATGCTGATGCTGCTGCTGCTGCTGGTAGTACTGCTCTCATGCTCTTGATGCATCGCAGCAACATCCGCGTGTGAACAGAAGATATGTATTACCAAACGAGAAACACAAATTAAACCATTCGCACAACAATCTGTCAGAAATAACCTGCTTGTGTGTGTGTGTGTGTGTGTGTGTGTGTGTGTGTGTGTGTGTGTGTGTGTGTGTGTGTGTGTGTGCGTGCGCGTGTGTGGGCGTGCGTGTTCTTGCTGCTGCGTTGCGACACGCACTCAATTGTTCACGCACGTCCAACGAGCTGGGGTGACATTTGTGGTGGTTTACTGGGTGCTGTAACCAACAGCAATGGGGCAAAGTGACATGACATCAACACCTATCGTGGGAGAACACTTCCATCAAAGAGAAACAAATCAAAAAGACACGCAAAATACAACAACACATTAACATCATCGCCACAAGACCATTGACGAGGGGGATAACAGTGGGTGTACATACAAGGTGGTCAATAGCAACTAGTGATGGAATGACAACGTAGAGTCACTGAGAATGAGAATGAACACAACGACAGAATTCAGCAGCCAGAAGGTGTTGGCTGTATGTACGGTTGCTTGCAAGCATCAAGGTGCGTTTGGTAACAAGTAGACCAAGGCCTCGTGGCGACCAACGGCCACGCATTACACCATGTTCACGTTGGAAGGGCGCTTGCTGTAATGTGTGCATGAAGCCAGTGCAAGAACGCGTGTGTGCGTGTGCGCGTGTGCGTGCGTATGAATATGTGAGCATGTGAGCATGTGAGCATGTGGGCGTTGGAGGAAAAACTAGCGCTTGCTTCGAGTGGAAGTCACGCAAATGCAGTTGTACTCACACAAAACATGCCACAAACGCAAGATATGACATTCACACCGCACGTGACTGCACAAAGCACAAGTACATCACAACAGACACATGTACACACAGATCGAACGAAAATGTGTTGATAAAAAATCAAACACACCACCACCACCAACAACAACAACCCACAACAACAACAACAACCCACAACAACAACAACAACAACAACAACAACAACCCACCTCCTTCTGTTGAGGGCTTCTGCAGACTGCAAGAGGCCGTTTTGGTTGAGAACGCAGAATGCCACGTGCTCGCCCACAGCTGCCTTGAGCAACTTCTTCACGCTGTCTGCCGACTTTGTGGCGCTTGGCTTTGAGTTGACCTCAATCACAATGTCACCGTTGCGAAGACCACAGCGCTCAGCAATCGAGCCAGGCTTAATCTGCCAGAAAGGGACGGGAGGGAGAAGGAGAGAGAGCAGGAGGGACGGACGGAGAGGAAGGGGGCGGGAGAGAGGGATGAAAGAGAGAGGATGTATGGTTGGTGAGCGTGAGATATGCCAACCATGTGTGAGATAAAAGTCATGAGATGCAGGTGAGGTTGAGCGCGGGTGAGCACCGCACAGGCGCGTGTAGGCACAAACGACACAACTGCTGGCATGGAACATCATCTCCACAGCAACTGCAGCTTTACCTTTGAAAGGATGGCGGGTGATCCTGCTGTCACCTTCATGTCCTTCAGCACATACTCGCGCGGCACATGCACGAGGCGAGCCTGTCAATCGCATCCACAAGATGGTCAGCGTGAACACATGATGATGTGTGTCTAGGTTGTGGCGACAGCCTGCATGCATGCATTCATGACCACTCGCTTGCTTGCAGGCAAAACTCAACCATAAACATGTGCATCCACGCATCAACAAGCAAAGGACGGCGCACAAGCAAGCAGGGCTTGCGCACCTTTTCGCACGGGTACTTCTCAGGCTCCTTGATCTCCTCCACATACGACGACGGCAGGAAACCAACTTTGCCGTGCAGAGACATGCCCTGCCGTGTGTGGTGGTGGTGGTGGTGGCGATGGTGGTTGGTTGGTGGCGGTGTTAACAGGATGAGCAACATAACAAGTGGAAGCAATACACATACACGTGTTGTCACAGCAGCGAGGCGAGGCAGCAGCAAGTCCAGCAAGAGGATGAGGAAGCAAGCAAGCCAGCAAGCAAGAGATGTAAGGAAGGTAGGGAGGGGACAAGCAAGCAAGCGAGCTCCATGGCACAATGCCGGCTGCCACTCACCAGTGACCACCCGTCTTCACGGACAACGAGAATGAAGAGAATCTCCTTTGCCCGCAGGCCGAGGTCGTCCTGCTGTGCAGGCTCGTAGTCGTAATTCGCGCGATACAGCGGAATCAACGCTGTAAACACATGAAAAACACATGAATGCACACACACACACACACACGTAAACGCACACACACACGCACACACGCATGTACGCATGCACGCACACACGCACCATACACGCAGGCATAGGTGTGTTGTTTGCAGAAAGTGATGAGAGGTAGTGCTTGCGGGCGAATGCAAAGCATCATGCAAGCGAATGCACATGCGTAGTCTTGGTATTTGTGCTGCTCACCTTCACGGGGCGGAAGAATGGCTGGCTCATCCTCTGGTGGAGGTGGCGGTGGTGGTGCACGCAGGCCTGGTCGACACGGAAGGAGAGCAGGGAGAAGGAGTGAGCGGAGAGACAGTGTGAGCGAAAGACACGCCAAAACTGTTGAGCAGAGGAGTTCTGTGAAAGCATGACAAGCATGCACATTCGTCTGTTTGGTGTAAGCGTGTGGAAAAAATGGCGCCCAAACCCACTTTGTCTAACATCCTCAAACGAGCCTGCACAAGTCAAATTCACAGCACGGGCAATGGATGGTGCAAGGTGTTGAGTGAGCAAACAGCAAGCAAACACACACACACACACACATCTTTGCCGTGCTCATGCCACACACTGCGTCCGAGGTCAGCCACACACAAAACGCACACGCTCGCATGTACACACACACAAGCAAATAACCACATGAACAAATACAACACCCACATGCACACACACATACACACACACTCACACACACACACTCTCTCTCCCTCTTGCATGTACACACCAGCACAACATTCACAAGCACTCGCACACATACATCCGCACATGAAACACACGCGCACACACTTACTACGCTTGCGCGTTTTTGCTCCGCGTCGCCTGACAACAACATCTGTCTCGTCCTGCCGCTGCGGTGGAGACATTGGCGGTGGCGGTGGCGGAAAGAATTCCTCGTTGGCAAGAGGATTTTCGTCGCCTGCGCCAAACGCCGATGGTGGTGGTGGCGGGGTGATGGGCGATGGGATGGTGTCGGCCGCTGTGTTCGTTTCCATCGTTGCAGGTGGTGGTGGCGGTGGTGGTACGGGTATGGAGGGTGCTGGTGGCATCGCTGGTGGTGGCGGTGGCGCTGCTGTGTTTGCTGTGTCCAGTGGCCCTGGTGGTGGCGGCGGTGGCGGTGGTGGTCCAGGCATGGACGCCATGGGGGCCGGTGGCGGTGGCGGTGGTGGTGGAGGGGGTGCAGCGGTTGTGGTTGGCGTGGTTGGCTTTGCCGCTGGTGCTGGTGGCGGTGGCGGCGTGGACGTTGCCTCCGCTGGCTTTGACCTGAGTCGCTTCAGCAGCGGCGAGCTGGCGAGAAACGGTGATGGTGCGTCATCACCATCGTCATCGTCGTCGTCGTCAGCGGACTCGTTGCTGTTCGACGTCGCCTGCAACATCCCGCCTGGTGGCGGCGGTGGCGGCGGCGGTGGAGGGGCTGTTGTGTTTGATGCTGGTGTTGGTGGTGGTGGCGGCCCTGGTGGTGGCGGGGGTGCGGCCTCGTCCGATTCGCGCAGTTTCGTGCCGCTCTTCGTCTGAGCACGAGAGGATGTGCGAGGAGGGGAAGAGGGACGCAAGGGACGACAACATGGAACCGTGTGAGTGTCGTGTCAGAGTGTGTTTGGATTGGCAAGCGAGACATGAGGAAGAAGAAGCAAGGCAAGTGGATGTGTTGTGATTGTGACTGAATACAATGTTGAACGTTCAATCACGCAGACACACGATAAACACGCACACATACACACACACACACACGACAAGCGCACAACAATCAAACACACACAAACACACACACGACATTCTGCACCTTCTGGGCGTTTTGCTCCCGCTTGTTGCGACGCAAACCAAGCATGTTTGAGAAGCGGCTTTGCTTGCGGGCAGTGGAGGGCGATGGAGGTTCACTCGTGTCAGAGGACCAGCTCTGTACGGTGTGGGAAAGGAAGAAGCAGAATGGGCTGTGAGCTGTCGAAAAGGGACAATAAATCACGCAAGGAACATGCAACGAAGCAACCAGCGCATGCGTGTGTGTGTGTGTGTGTGTGTGTGTGTGTTTGTTTGTTTTTTGTGTGTAACACATGCGCATGCGTGGGTGGATTGTATGTGTGACAGACATGAGATGCCGCCACATCATCGCCTGCGACGCTCACAAGATCGTCTGCTGCAACCTTCGCCTGGGACCGAACCCGCTGTAGTGGTCGTGATGATGATGTGGTGATCATGAGTGCATGATCAAGCAATTCGTCCACAGTCACACGCACACGCGCACATAACAAACAAACAAACAAAAAATCCACACACACACACACACACACACACAAACAATCCACACAAACAAACAAACAAACAAACAAACAAACAAACAAACAAACATAAAATCCACACAAACAAACAAACAAACAAACAAACACACAAAACAAACAAAACTAACAAAACAAACCATCTCACAGATGTGTGTGCAAGTACAAGTGGTGGCGCACCTCAACCTGCGCCGAGGATACGTCTTGTTCGATGGCGAGCGACGATGTTGTCTTCTCCAGGAAATGGCGCCGGCGCTCCGCCTCCCGCTCCTGTCGGATGAAACCGAGACAATGAGGGTGGTTGGTCGTGGTTGTGGTGGTGGTGGTAGAGGTGGTGAACGGGAGAACGAGAAGGAAGCGCAAGACATCTCAGAAAGTGTCTTCACTCAAGCACATGCACAAGCAAACGCACACGCACACACATACACACACACACACACCTGTGCCTCTGTGATGTCGATGACGCCGGAACCTTGGCTCTGGTTGATGAGCGTCAAGTCCTCGATTTCGTCAACGCCGGATTGCGTAATGAAGTTGATCTTCGACTGCAGGCTTGAGCGGTGGTCAGCAAGCGCCTGATGCAAGGTTGAAGGGGAATAGGGGTGTGAGCGTGATGTGCGTGCCCAAACACAACTGGAATGCTCATGTGTTGGTGTCGCTGCGCCAACATGCACCTCTGTGATGTTTGTAGGTGTAAACCCAACACACGCACGCACGCACGCACACACACACACACACACTGGTCTCACCTCAATCTCAGCGTAGACTTGCTCCATCTTCTGCTTCATCGTCTGTGACAAGCAACCACGAAGCAGACGAGTATGCACACGGACAACAATACATGAGATTTGATAGCTCTCCTTCAGGCGAGGGAACGCACACATGCGCACACACGTGTACACACACATGTACACACACACACGCACACACACGCACGCACACACACACACGCACACACGCACTTCTCTTGATGTACACACCTCGGCCTGGTTCTGTGTCTTATCGAGGACAGCACCAGCCTTTGCGTAGTGCTGATAGAGCTGAAGCAGAGACTCTACTTGCTCCTCCTTCTTCTCAAGCTCCTTTGTCATGGTGTCGACGTGGTGGCGGAGGAGATTGCGCGTCTGTGTGAGGATGAGTTTCGACTTGTTCGACACCTCGAGGTTGCTGCCATGGTGGTGCGATGCCGTGTTGTGATGAGGTGAGGTGAGGTACGATAAAACGTGGGTACGTAGAGTGCACTGAACAACAAGAAGATGCATCAAGGAAGGACAACGTTCAAGTACAAGCACACACATGCAGTGGAAGGGAGGCAAGGCACGTTCACAAAACACGTGCACACACACTCACACACGTGCACACACACGCGCGCATACACATACATTCTCTCTCATGCACACTGAGCGGGGGAAAAGAGAAAACATCAGTTCATACACACTCAGTCACTCACACACGTTCGCACAAAGCCGTACACGCAACTCACGGGTCGTCATCGGGGGAGTACGGGACCATCTGGAAGAGGTGGCGACCAGGAAAATCCTTCCGGTTTGCGTGCATGAAGTTGCGGCGCTCAAACTCGACATCGAGCATGTCTGTCCGCTCTTGCAGCAGCGTGCCACTCTAATGATGATGACGATAAAGGCGGTGGTGGTGGTGATGATGAAAGAATTGGTGTGAGTTTGACGTGGTGAAGTATTGATTGAGTCATGAGAATCCAAGTAGTTGTCGGTGGCTGCAATGAGGCTGAAGAAGCGTAGAACCTCTACTCAAGCGCACATCCGCAGACAGAAGATCGTACACATACAAAATACACATGCACACACGCACATGCACACATGCACCTCGATTTGGACGTGGGCTGGCTGAAGCTGGGTGTTGACAATCGCTTTGAGAAACACCTTGAGCCACTCCATCGTCTGCTGGTTGATGGTCTGTGTCACATGCGACATAACAAGCACATGCGACGTGAGGAATTGTGTGGTCGTCGTCGCTGACGATGGACGCAACTACAAACAGTACCAGCTTTGAAGTGACAGAAAAGTAATGCGTACAAATTAAATTGCGCACCAACCAGCGACCCCTTCAACCCCAACTTCCACCTTCAACTTCAAATGCATTGTTCGCTTTCCACCGTGAACTTAAACCTCCACTTCCCATCTTCCCGTCTTCCCGTCTTCTACGTGGGTACTCACATCAAAGACCTCTGGCATCTGGTGGTCCCTGAACTTGAGGTAGCGCGCGTTGGCGGACGCAAGTTCCAGCAGGTACTCCATCTTCAGACTGCGCGCTTTGGACTCGAGCGCCCGCAGTTTGGCGGGATAGTCCGGCTTCTTCTTGGCTGTGTGTGTGTGTGTGTGTGTTGTGTGTGTTGTGAGTGTGTGCGTGTGGTGTGTGTTGTGGGTGTGAGATTGTGTTTGAGGGCAAGACACTGTGCGTGGGTTGTAAGGAGAAAGAAGACGAAGAAACTGGTGGAAACGAGAATTGAGAACTGATGGCAGAGGGACACTGCTGATTGCACTCCACTCCACCCTGGACGTGGCACAGACCTGATTTCTTCTTCTGGAAGGACTCGAGCTCCTTCATGCTGCCGTCGTACATTTTCTTGGCCTAATCACGCGTCAAAACGCAAAACGCCACACATATCGTGAGAAGCAGCACTGTGACACATGATGCGAGACCTTGGCGCCACTCATGCTGCATCCACACACACAAACAAACAAACAAACAAACAGACAAACAAACAAACAAACAAACAAACAAACAAACAAACAAACAAACAAACAAACAAACAAACAAACAAACAAACAAACAACCAACCAAACAAGCAAGCAAACACCCTCCACCTTTGTGACGGCGGCGTCGAGGGAGCAGAGCTCTTCTTGCAGAGCGCCGAGCACGCGAACGGCCTGCAAGAAGGGTGGTAGAGACATGACGACAGGAGGACAGATTGGGGTGAGCGGAAGTGGTCGATGCACCCACCCCGATTGCAATCTCACACCACCCTCACACCAATCAACCAACCATGCATCCATCTACCCATCCACCCATCCAAACTTCCATCCATCTGTCATCTCTCCCCTCCCCGGCTCTCTGTTGCGCGAACGTACGCATCTGTCCATGGAGCGCTTGTCCTCGAGACGGGCCTCCATCTGCTCGCCAGCCATCTTGAACACCTTCTCTGCCGCGCGCTGCTGGATCAGCGCATTCTCCACGTCTTTCTCCAGCAGCATCCGGTACAGGTCCATGGCCAGGCTGCATAGCGCAAGTGTGTGTGTGTGTGAGTGTGAGTGTGTGTGAGTGTGTGTGAGTGTGTGTGAGTGTGTGTGAGTGTGTGTGAGTGTGTGTGAGCGAGTGAGAGAGAGTGTGTGTGTGAGTGTGTGTGAGCGAGTAAGAGAGAGAGTGTGTGAGTGTGTGTGTGTGTGTGAGTGTGTGTGAGTGTGTGTGAGTGTGTGTGCGACGTTGAAGAGTTGTGTTCACATGAATAGTGGCTGTTGTGGGAACCGCCAGGAGACAGACAACCAACAGCCGACACTCACATCTTCTCGTGGCCCTCCTTGAACGTCCAGTCTGGAAACTTGGCGCGCTGGTGGAACTGTGTGAACAACATCCATGTTGCAAAGCGTGAGCAGATAAGAGACAGAAAGAGACAGAGAGACAGAGACAGAGAGAGACAGAGAGAGACCTCAAGTTACGTGCTGTGTTCCAATTCACACGAGAAAGCCTGCTGCCCAACCCCGCCGCTCAATCAATCACTCAATCACTCACTTGGTCGCATGGAGTCACACACACACAGACACACACAGAGACTCGCGCATACCCACACACACTAACACACACTCACACACTCACTCCCGCTCCTTCCCTCCACAGTACGGCACGGCACCTGCTGGGTGAGCTTCGTCAAGTTCTGTGCGTGCTCGTACTCCAGACGGGACCGCTGCTTGAGGTATTCTTGCATCTCCTCGTACATGGTGGTCTCGGCACGATGCCGCTCCTCAATGCGCTTCAACTGCACGTGCGTTGTCAGTCGTTTCGGTGATGCATGATGGGCCGTGAGTGCTGTCAGTGTGTCCAGCACTGCTGTAGCTGGTACGTGTTTAGGACAAGACACGCTGCATACTCACCCCCCCCCTCCTCAGCCGCACTCTAGACACCCACCATCAACGAACGTTACCTGCTCGTTGAGGATTTGCACGCCCGCTGACGGCTTGGTGCGCGACTGCTGCGCCTTGAACAGATGCAACAGGCTGAACTCAATCCTGTAAAGCCCAATGCCACCCAAGTATCAGCCAAGACGACGCTCATCAGTCAGTCATGGAGAACCACTTGCGACGCAACTGGCCCGGACGCACCTCACCCCACACGCCACAATACCACCCTTGAAACAACCCAATGCTACGTCCCCTGTGCAACGTCACATGAAAACACACACACGCACGCGCACCTGCACCTGCACAAGTACACACGTGTATGGTGTTACCTTAGCTCGAGTGGGACGGGGTTGTCTGAGCGCTGGGTAAAGTCGGACATGAGGCTGGTCTTGCCATCATTGTAGGCGACGGCAGTGAACAGCGACTGCAGCCCAATGTTGTGGGAGAACGTCGTGCTGGACGGTAAGTCGCTCGCACGCTTGCTTGTGTCGCTGAGCCTGTTTGAGCCGCGACTGGACGTAGCCGAGGGCGCCTCCGTCGTCATCTTGGCCTCTCAATCAACACCAAGAGTGAGACAGCGCAATCAACGCCGGCCTTGTTCGTTCTTGTCTTGAGACTTTGGTCAGTCCCTTGCTGACTGCGGTGCAGCTGCGACGCGTTGCTGTAGCGGTTTGGAGTGGTTGGAAGTGGACGTGTGTGATGGAATACACAACGCACAGAGAGAGAGACAGAGACAGAGACAGAGAGAGAGAGAGAGATGACGCTTGTGATGCTGTCTGAATCAAGCAAGCAAGTATGTGGTGGTGTGAATGCGAACGGCAACGCCGGCAGGCCGTGTGCTGCGACTTGTCTCTGGCGTGGGCAGCGCAAAGCTCCTTTGGTGGCCGCGACTTTGCAGGCGGTTCTTTTGAGCCCACTTGCTTTGGTCGTGCGTGATCTCTGGTTTGGTTGGTTGGTGTGTGGTGTGGTGCAGTCTGCTGGTGTGTGATTGGTTGTGTGTGTGTGTGTGTGTGTGTGTGTGTGTGTGTGTGTGTGCATCTCGAACCAGCGGAGCAAGCAAGCAAGGTTGTCACCCATCGGCCAGTTTTTCAAGTTGGCGCATTCCAGCCTTCGGTGCATCGCAGCCAACGGAATCCTGCTTTGCCTGACCAGGACGACACCTGATTGAAGCTCCTACCCGCGAAACCGTGATTTGTTGAAGATACCCAGCAACTATCACTAGAATAAAAATAATCACAATCTTGCTCTCTTGCTTGCCTGTGCCCTTTTTTTCGCCTCTTCACTTCTTCTGCGCGCTGCAAGCAAAAAAGGTGCTGGAGGGAGTGGTGCGCCGTTTGCTGTTTGCTGCTTCGTGTGTGTGTTTGATTGGGGGACGAAGGTTGATGATCATCATCATCAGTGTGTGTGTGTGTGTGTGTTGCTGTACTTGAAGTGAGTGCTTGTGTGTGTGTGTGTGTGTGAGAGAGTGGGTGAGTGTGTGTGAGTGTGAATGAGTGTGTGTGTGTGCTTGCCTGGCTCTGGTGTATGCCTCACGCTGGTGCGCTCATCATCTTCATCACAACCTCTGCGTTCAGGAAGCGAAGCAGAACCACCGCGTCCCATCATTTCACATCACCGAGCAGAGAGCACACTGAGTAGACAACAGCTGTCTGTCATTTTGAAGGACCAGTCGGCTGGACACACGTGCTGCTTGCTGACTGTTGGTGGGCAGACGAGCTGAGACAAGACGAGACGAACAGCGGAAGGGAACGAGGCAAACAGGACGAAACACAGGGAACCATGCCGAAGACACCAAGCTTCTTTCGCCGCTCAAAGCGGAAAAAGGTGAGCACAGTGCATGTGTGTACGTCTGTGTGTACGTCTGTGTGTTCGTGTGTCTGTCTGTCTGTGTCTGTGTCAGTGGGTGTGTGTGTCCGTGTTTTTCTGTGTGTGTGTGTTTGTTTGTTTGTGACTGTGTCTGTCTGTGTGTGTACGTGTGCCTGTGTGAAGACTCTCTTTGTTGTGTGTGTGTGACAGAGCACCCACGCATCAAGGTCACACACACGCGCGCGCACTCATAATCACACACACACACTGCACGAACGCTCGTGTGCTGCCCAGGACCTCGTGATTCGTGACGCCGTTGTGGCAAAGTCTGCAAACGGGCGGTTTGGTTTCACTGTGGCTGGAGGGCTGGAGAGTAACTCCTTCTGCTTCATTGAACTCGGCAAGGAGAAGCCGCACGTGAGGTAAGGAGGTGTTGTGTGTGAGTCTGTCTGTGTGTGTCTGTCTGTCTGTGTGTGTCTGTCTGTCTGTCTGTCTGTCTGTCTGTGTGTGCCTGAATCCACTACTTTGTGTGTGCCCTCTTGTGTACAAGTGATTTGGCCACGTTGCGCTTGACGTCCATGTGCCACGGTCGTTCTCTCAAGGCTCACACGTGTGCAACACCTGCCAGGTCGGGCAAGCTGCATGACAAGGACCTGATACTGGAGGTGAACGGCGTGGACGTCGCCGGCGAATCGCATGAGCGGGTGACGGAGTTGATTGCGCAGTCTGCACAGGACGTTCGCCTCTCCCTCGGCACCATTGGCCGCGACGACCTCATCAAGTCAGACCCCGCTGCTCATGCGTGTATGTGTGTGTGCATGTATGTGCCTACGCAGTCATTCATGATCGCTGAAATGTGAGCAAGTTGTGGATCTGTTCACAAAGCGCGCACACACACACACACACTCACGCACTCACGCACTCACTCACTAACACACACACACATGCACTCACTCACACGCGCGCGCGCGTAACACCTTAGGATCAGCACTGTGTTCAACCTTCAACAGCCGGACCCGCTGTTGGCTGAGCTGCAGGCGCGCGTCAAGAAGACCGTTTACTCCCTCATCATCCCCTGCACCACACGCAGCAAGGACGCACGTGCGTTGGTGTAGCTGTTGCTGCTTGTTGTTGCTGTGATGGGTGGTAGAGATGGCTGTTGTTGTTGCTGGTGAGACGAGAGGAGCAAGCGTGCACCGCCTGTGTTGCCCTCAACTCACACATATATGCGCATGTGTGTGCAGAGGACGTGCAAGGGAAGGATTACTACTTCATCTCAAAGGACCTCTTCCAGAAGCTCATTGAGTCAAACAGGTGCGCGCAGTCAGGCGACGGAGTAAACATGAGGTTGTGGTGTGGCAGCTTCGCTCCTACGCATGACGAAATGATTTCCAAACACACACGTTCTCGCTCTCTTTCTCTCTCGCTCTCACACGCACACACACACACACACACACACACGCACGCACGCACGCACGCACACAGGATGCTGGAGTACCGAACGGATGAGCGCGGGGACATGTACGGGACGATTCTTCCAACAAAGGACTTGATTGCACACATGCGCGGACAAGAGGCACTCTCATCCCAACCCAACGGTGCAGCCATGACGCAACGCCAGCCCGCTGCAGCAGCAGCGGCAGCAGTGACGTCTTCATCTCCATCCACAGCACAACGAAAAGCAGGAGGTACAACGTGATGGTCACGCTTCTGGTCGTCGTCGTTAGTTTGTGGGTTTGTGTGTTGCAGCAGTTTGCATTACCAGGTGACCCGCCATGTCACCGCTCTGTCGTCGCACAGTTGACACATGCCTACACACACACACGCACGCGCGCACACACACATACGCACACACACATGCCTACACACACACCAGCGGCGTCTGCGTCTGCGCGAACGAGCGTTTCCATCCGCGTGAGTGATGCCGGATCGGACGCATCGTCCATCGCGTCCCGGACACACGAGCCGCTCCTGTCAAAAGCGGACATGAAGCGGCTGCAGACGGGCGACGCGCCAATGGTGCAGACACTCGTGCTGGCGCGCGGCGAGGGTGGCCGGCTTGGGTTTGCCTTTGACGGCGGTGTGGAACACGGCACCCTGCTCTCCATTCGCCACATTGGTGACGTCCACATCCTCTCCACCACAAACCGCGACCTGCGCGTGGTGCGTTTGCAGCTGTAAATGGCGTTGGGGGGGAGAGACCGGGATGGCGACAAGAGGGCGAAGGGATGAGCGGAGCGTGTCAGAGAGTGTGTGCGTGCGTGCGTGCGTGCGTGTGTGTGTGTGTGCGTGTGTGTGCACCTGTCAGCGCACATGATGTGCAAGCGTCTATGTGCCATGGCTCTGCGTTTTCTACGTGCGCTTATTGACATTACCATCACCACTATCACCACCACCACCACCACCACCACCACCACCACCACCACCACCACCGTTACGATTACCCCCCTTTTGCTTTGTGCAGGGCGACTGCCTGCTTGCGGTTGACGGCCAGAGCGTGGCTGCGTGCTCCTCTGTTGAGGCTGAGAAGATTGTCGCAAAGTGCGGCGACCCCGTCGAGATTACGACAACATGCGTTGATGAGAGCCTCCTCGACTCAAGTAAGTATAATGTGCGCGTGCATGCGTGTTTGCGTGTCTGTGTGCATGTGCGTGCGTGTGTGTGTCTGTGTGCATGTGTGTCTGTGTGCATGTGTGTGCGTGTGTACGCTTGTGATTGCGTGGGCCGTGTCCTTGTGTCTGCCCCTCTGTGTTTTTCTCTGCCTGTAACCATCCCATTCCTCGCCATGTCTTCTCCCCGCGCCACTCCGCTTGCACAGACTACCGCATCAGCGCGCACGACTTCCTGACGTCGGCTGTCTTCAACCGCCCGGACATGCGTGCGGCGCGGGCTGACCTTCGACGCGACGTGTACGCAAAGACAATCCCATACACAACCCGCCCGCCACGCGAGGGCGAGGTGGACGGCAAGCACTACCACTTTGTCTCGCGCGATGTCTTTGAGGAGATGGTGAAGCGGGATGAGTTTATTGAGTACGGCGAGAACAAAGGCAACCTGTATGGCACGCCGCGGCAACCGGAGGTGGCTGCATCCAGCATGCAGCGCAGCGCATCGACCCTGCACCTTCGCCGCACGTCCGAATTCAGGGCCGCAACCTTCCTCCTGCAGAAGAATTCCCCAGACGAGGTGAGAGGGGGATTGGATGCGATTGCGATGCGCCTTACAGTGATGGTTGTGTGCGTTTGGAAAGGGGAAGGGGACGTGCAACTTGTTGGCGTGACACACACGCACAACCACACACACACACGCACACACCACCACACACACACACACACACACACACACACACACACACACACACACACACACACACACACACACACACACACACACACACGCACAACCACACACAAATGTGCACATCCCCGATCTTCATCATCTTTGTTCTCATAAAACCGCCTGTACCAACTACCGCCACAATCATCACGACCACAATCGCCGTTGTAGCTGTTTGGCATGGAGCTGCTGAAGGGTGAGCGCAGCATCTTCGTCTTCCGCGTTGCACCCAACTCCCCCGCCCACCGCGCGTACGTGCGCCCCAACATGGTGCTGCTGGCCATCAACGGGGAGGACATGACCCGTGCCAAGCTGTCGGACGCCATCAGCCGCCTTGCTGCCGCGGGCGACACGGTTGAGCTCTATCTTCGCTACGATAAGGACGGGCAGGACAGGGCTGTTGCTGTGGCCAAGGAGACGCCAACCACCCCGCTCTCAAAGAAGCTCGAGGTCTGTCATGTGCGTGTGTGTGTGTGTGTGTGTGTGTGTGTGTCTGTGTGTCTGTGTGTCTGTGTGTCTCTGTGTGTGTCTGTGTGTATGTGTGTGGTTGGAGAGGAAGAGTGCAACAATATGAGTGTTGGAAGGATGGCCTGCGCATGTTGGAACAAATGACATCCACCCGTCATCAGAGCGATACGCCTCAAGCCATTCATCAACACCTCAACCCATTGACTGCTGGTCTGTATGTTTCGCTGTCGCCCCAGCTCACCCTTCCATCCCTTCACCACCACCACCACCACCCCAACCTTCATCACCCACCACAGGCTGAGGAGAGCGAGCGAGTGCGTCGCGCTGCAGACGAGGCGATGGCGAAACGGCGACAGGAGGAGCTTGAGCTGCAGTCGTCCGTGCAGCAGAGGCTTGAGGAGGCTGCAGATACACCACGCAGCACTGCTGGCAATGGTGACGGTGACGGTAATGGTGATGGTGATGTGGGAGCAGCGGCAGCAGCAGCATCGCAAACAAACGATGGGCAGGCTGCAACGGCGAGTGAAGAGGATCGCGGAACAAGCAGACACTTGTGGGGACTGCTGCTGGCGATTGTTCTCGCCGTGCTGGCTGTGGTCATTGCAATCATGACAGATCTTCCCTTCCACAGCTGAAGTGTCACGTTTAAAGTGTTGATCTTGTCGTTCGGTTGATTCTTTGGGGTGTTGTGTTTTGTTCCGTGTGCTGCTGAGGTGAAGTTGACACTTTCCATGCGTCTTTTCCTGTGTTTCGTTGATAGCTGCTGCTGCTCGCCTTCATGCTCCTTCATGTTTCCGCCTCACAGGCATTGTCGTCCATTGATTCAGTGGTCGCCCCAAAGCGCGCGCATACGCACGCACATACACAACCTGAAGGCAGTGCCTGTATCATTTGCCTTTGTCCCCTTTGTCTCGCTGCCTTCATTCGTTCGTCTCGCCCCTTTGGTTGTCGTCTCGTTAACTTTCCTCTTCAAAGAATGGGTGTTTGGTTCGTGTTGGTTGGTTGTCAAGGTTGTGTCTGAGTGGTGATCGTTTAGAACAAGCAAGCTTGCGTTTCTCGCTTCCCATCCGCACACTGTTGGGCTTAAGTACAACAACAAGCATATCCAAACACAGCGCGTGTCATTGGTGCTGGGCCTGTGTTCCCTTGTCGTCATCGTCATCACCATCGTCGTCGTCATCACCATGCTGGGTGGGTTGTGGGTTGTTTGTTGTCGTGGTTGCCGGCTTCTGGTATTTGCACTGCAGCCAAACCCTGGTTTGAATGGTGGTGTGTTTGCGTCGAGGGGAGGCAGCGGTGTGACAAGAGATTTGGAGGTAGGGGGCATGTGCATTGCGACATGTGGCGAGGTGTTGTGTCTTGTGCCGCGATGTTTAGCACACATGTGATCACATCACATCAAGACACCGTCACCAACCACCAGCACGAGTGTCACCTTTGCATGGTGACGCATTTTGCGCGGTTGACGATGAGTCTGCGGTCGTATTTGTTCTGCACTTCAACCAGCCCGTGCTTCTCCATAAGCGAGCGAGCCTCATCTGCAAACACGTGTTTGGGGAGGTGTGTGTGTGTGTGTGTGTGTGTGTGTGTGTGTGTGTGTGTGTGTGTGTGTGTGTGTGTGTGTGTGTGTGTGTGTGTGTGTTGGTACTTGAGCGGGCAGATGCAAAGAAAGGTTCGCTCACGCCCAATCAAAGGAATATGGTCATCATCATCATCACGATCGCCACCACAGCCATCAGCACCTCGGTCGTAAAAGTAGACGCGCGTGCCGTCGCCACGAATGTAAAAGTTCTCCTGCAGGTATCGCCCCTTCTTCAGCCGCAGCTGTTGCGCCGTCATGGTCATCGAGGGTGAGAAGAAGAACCATGTGCATGTGCATGTGCATGTGCATGTGTGTGTGTGTGCGCGTGACGGCTTTGCTTGCGGGTGTTGTCTTCTCGTCTCTGTCGCTTCACTCTTCCCGCCCTCATCTCCTTCTCCAAACCTCTTGCCGCATCCTTCTCTCCCTTTCATCCTCTCCTCTCCCACGCCTCAGCCAGCAGCACAGCGTGTGTGCGCCCTGCACCTGCGCCAGGTCGTGTCGGCCGTAATCGCGGAGCACAAGCTGCCCGCCCGGCTTCAAGCACTGATGCAAACAGGAGAAGCGACGAAGCATGGAGAGGGCGTGTGTGTGTGTGTGTGTGTGTGTGTGTGTGTGTGTGTGTGTGTGTGTGTGTGTGTGTGTGTGTGTGATGCCGTGATGGTGAGCAAAGAGTGTCGTGGTGGTCATGGAAAGGTGGGTGTTGCTGGCGTTGGGGGTTGTTGAGCAATGCAAACCCACCACGCTCCAGCAATGGCAACAGCAGCAGCAACAGCAACAGAGTGAGAGTGATTGAATGTCAGTGTGTTTCCGAGTGGGTTCACCTTGACGAGCTTGGCTACCGCTTTGTCCATTCTGCACATGCATCGCGTTCAAATTGCACGTGGTGTGAGAGGGTGCAACTACCAGTACTACGTCAACGGCAGAACTGAGGATGCATGACATCACATTCAAGAGAGCACACCAACCGTCACCAGCCACCACCACGTGTCGTCACCACCCAATACAAACGCACTCTGCCGGGTGGAGAGCAGAGAGGACGAAGATGAGGATGATCATGTCCAGAGAGTTGGCAGGCAGGCCCACGTTGTCGCGTGAGATGTCACACACAAACGCGTTGCACCGCGATGGCTCGTACAGGTCGTGGTTCTGTCGGTCACAAGTTGACGGAAGGGCAGTGGAGTGAGGGATGAGGGCAAGGTGTGAGCATGTGTCTGTGTGTCTGTGTCTGTGTGTCTGTGTGTGTGTGTGTGTCAGTGTGTGTGTGTGTCTGTGTCTGTGTCTGTGTCTGTGTGTCTGTCTGTGTGTGTGTGTGTGTGTGTGTGTGTGTGTGTGTGTGTGTGTGTGTGTGTGTGTGTGTGTGTGTGTGTGTGTGTGTGTGTGTGTGTGTGTGTGTGTGTGTGTCTGTGTCTGTGTGTCTGCGGGCTGTGTGTCTGCGGTCTGTGTGCGTGTGCGTGTCTGTGTGTGTTGCGACATGAGATGGGAGCGGTTCAGACAAAGTTACAACTGTTGCATATGTGTGTGTGTTTGTGTGTTACCTGCACGATGCTGACTGCTGTTGGTGCATAATCGCACGCATACACGAAAAAATCCTTGTCCCTGATGTCATGGAGCCATGGTCAAGTGCATTCGTGCATGCGTGCGTGAGTACGAGGGGGTGAGTGAATGTGCGTGTGAAGGGGACAGCTCGTCTGGGAGTGTGCGCATGTGTTTGTGTGTTGAAAACTGGATGATGGATGCACGGCCAAGCGAGCCAGGTGCCTGCGAGGTGCTTACGGGTTGTTCTGGAGCATCGGGAACACGGTGTTGCCGGCACCACAGCCCACCTGAGAAGCAACGCCACGATGCGACGCGGAGGTATCGATGAGCCACGAGAAGGCTGACCAGTTGATGGCAATGGAGCATGCTCGTACCCATCCACACACGCGCCAGCACACACGCACACACACAGGCGCGCGCACACCATACACACACACACATCTACACATCTACACGCACACACACACACAAGATGGTGCGCACCTCGAGCACCCGAACACGCGATCCTTTGCTCGCCAGCCACCGCTCTTCAACAACGTGTTCCGCTTCTGGAGATGCATGCGCATCACCAGATACCGCGTCAGCCGTTGGCCATTCATCGCAGTGTAGCTTCAACTCGGGGAACTCTGTAAACAGCCACTTGCGATCCTTGAAGAACCTGCACCACCAGTGTCAAGAGGTGAGTCCGATCCGTGCTGTCGTGTACAGGAGACTGCAGCAGCTGCATGGCGGCATACGTTAAGTCACGCAACCCACTTGTTGTCGTGTGTTGAGTAGAACTTCTCCCAGAACGACCCCGGATCCTCATTGTACTTGTCTGAAAACAACACACGCACACACACACACACGCGCGCGCACACACACACACACACACGCACACACATGCACACACATGCACGCACACATACACACATGCATGCACACACATGCACACACATGCACACTGGAGTGAGTGGAGCGTTGCTGATTACAGGGAAACCAAACCATCGCATGGCTGAACGCAAGACAGCGCCGCACCTCGCTCTTCTTCAGGGACGGGGTGGTCGCGGTGGAACTGCACGAGGCGCTGCGCTTCCGCCTCTTGTTCAGGGGTGGACTGCACATCATCCCTAACCCCAGAGAGCAATAGCGTTCACGCACAACAACAAGGAACGACATGAGTTTGCGCACCTCCGTGTGAGGCTGAAAAGCGAACACCACGCTGCGTAAGCAACCAAGCAAGTGTGGTTGCTTGTCGGGACGTGTTACCATGCGTTGTGCGAGAACACATCCGATTCCTCCTTCAAGTAGCGCGACCCAAACTGCGGCCGCTTCTGCGTGCTGCTGCTTGGCGTGCTGCTCGCATCATCACCGCCACCCTCCATCTTCTCTGCAACGTGGGTGCTGTCAGTTCATGCAAATAATTGCACCTGCAATTGGCAAAATTGATGTGGAGATGTGTGTGTGTGTGTGTGTGTGTGTGTGTGTGTGTGTGTGTGTGTGTGTGTGTGTGTGTGTGTGTGTGTGTGTGTGTGTGTGTGTGCGCGTGCATACGAGAGAGGGTCCTGGTAAGCGCATGTCGCGTTTTTCTTTGCCATACAGAGGTCCTTCTAGTTTGCTTTTACGTGTGTTTGCATCGAGCACACGCACGCGCACATGTTAACACCGCTCTTCTTCTTCTTCTTCTTGTTTAGGTGGTTTAAGTTGTTGCTGTTGCTGTTGTTGCTGCTGCTGCTGCTGTTGTTGTTGTTGTTGTTGTTGTTGTTGTTGTTGTTGTTGTTGTTGTTGTTTAAGTTGTTGTTGTTGTTGTTGTTGTTGTTGTTGTTGTTTAAGTTGTTGTTGTTGTTGTTGTTGTTGTTGTTGTTGTTGAGGTACCTCCTGTTGTTGCTTGTTCTCTGGTCCCTGCTCATCTGCTTGTTGTTTTGAGGGCTTGCTGCTCGTGGGTGCCATCAGTGACTGCAGGAGGGAGACAGCGAGTGGCGCACCTGGTTGTCAAAACACACCCCAACAGCTTGGACGATGAGTACGTGTTGATCCACTTGAACAACGTGCTGGAGAAGTAGGCAAGGTACATGTGGCGAAGTGGGCAAGCTACACACCATCATTTCGCTGAACCCAGAGCCTCGCCGCGAGATTGGACCTGCTGTTCCTGGAAAACTGGCTCCGTTCGCCGGGCACCTTGCACTTGAGGTTGCGAGTGACAAGCGGAAGAAGCAACGTCAGGACATGTGTGTTGGTGTGTGTGTGTGTGTGTGTGTTGGCGTGTGTGTGTGTTGGCGTGTGTGTGTGTGTCAAAGTAAGGGTACCTGCGTGCTCCGCGTCATTTGACTCCGACTGCGGCTGCCGCGCATCATCTGTATGTTTGCAGAATGTACGGTCGCCGATGAGATTGTTGGTTGG